TATTGAAAAGAAAACAGCCTATTTGTCGATGGAGGCAATTTAGTTGTAAAGAAAGGTTAGTCTCTCAGTTGAAAGAGCTGTCACATTAGACGAACAAGACAGTGCTCTGTTAGTGCAGTCTACCAGTTAAACAGAGCTCGTTTGTTCCGAGCTGGAAAACATGGATCCAGTGAACGCTCAACCGGCGTTGACATGCATGGATGTGGAAGCCGTTTAAGAAGATTAACCCCCAAACATTTAGTATTTTTGCTTAATCAGTATTTTGTGTAATTTCCCAGTCAAAATGGTTTGCCTTGTTTGATATGCATCACATGCATTTTTTCCCCCTCTTTTCCATTTCTATTCAACGAATGGCATCTCCTCACCGATATCTGCTGAATCTCACTCTTGGAGTTTGGGATGGGGAAGGGCTTGCTGTGGCACATGTTTCCTCCCTGGTTTCTCAAAGCATGCAGAGGATACGGGACAAACATCTCCTCCTGTTGGACACACAGGAACAAAGGATAACTGCATTGAATGTTGCTTTCAGAGCAGTACCACACAGTAAAGCCTTCGTTATAAATATTTGAAATGATAAATGAAATTACACCAATGTTCTCTGCATATTTTCCTACTGAAAAGAGACAATCCATCTAAGAACAGTGAAATGATCTAGCTAGACTGATAGGCATCTCACAGTGTTTATAATGAGTCTGATTATTCATTAAGATTATAGTCTCATTAATTCAAAGTCATGCACACAGCCGACAATAATGAGGCAGGGTTGATTAAATGAAACAGAATAATGACATTAAATGAAAGAAACTTGCTATCAGTATGGCTAATAATATCTTAGCTGATGAGGTTAAATGAAATTGGTTATCTGATTTAGAATTTTTTAAGAAGAAGAAAAAAACAAGAAAACAACAACAAGTAACACTTTATTTTGCTGGTCCACATTAGACATTCTGTCGATATACGTAATTGCACCTGTCAAGTAATAACCTAACAATACACTAATTCTCAACTAATACTCTAACGAGAGCTATAGTTAAAGTCAACAGAATGTCTAAAGGGGACCAACAAAATAAAGTGTGACCAACATTTGCAAAAACGGTAACACTTTACAATAAGGTTTCATTAGTTAACTACATCAGTTAACATGAACTAAGAATGAACAGCACTTATACAGCATTTATTAATCTTATGTGATGCTAGTTTGTATTTATTAACAGTAGTTAATGCAACATGAACAAACAACGAACAACTACTGTAAAAATGAATGCGCTTTATCTAATAAAAAAATTGTGGCAACAGATTTTAAGCAATATTATTAATTAAATTTAACAATAGAATTGAGTAATGACTAATCAAATTAATTCATTAAAAGTTAACCATTTAAAACGAGTAAAACTTTTTTTTAGAAAGTATGTTTAAGTCACCATTATGGTGATCAGTGTTTGTTTTAGTTTTGCTTTAAAATGACGGGTTTCTCCTTCAGGGATTCTGCTTGATCACATCAGATGTCTTCAATGTTGGCAATATAAAATAAAAATAATGTAAAATAATTAATCTTTGACGTCTGTCTGTTATTCAGATATTTTTGTTAAATTTTTTGGTGTAAACATTACTCATTTTAAAATGGTTAACATTTAAGGAATATCAACTCTAATTTGTTCAATTTAATTAATAATATTGCTTGTAATCTGTTGCCACAATTTTATTGATTAGATAAAGCATATTCATTTTTACAGTGAAAGATTAACAAATACAATAACAAATGGTTAGTTCATGTTAGTTAATTAGTTAAAGCATGTTGCTAATGTTAACAAATGAACCATAGAGTGTTACCACTATAACTTCATATGCTATAATAAATCATTTGATATGCTGTAGAGTTAACAGTAAATGTCAATAGACTTTGATTAATGGACAGAGAGGGTTCACTCACAAAAAGAGTGCATGACTCTTCAGACACACGGTAGATGAGCTCTGCATGCTGGATGACACGATCTAGAAGTTTCTCTTGGGAGATTGAAGTACAGTGTGTGAGAGATCCGGTCTCGTCCTTGCAGTCCAGAGGAACGGCCTGAGAAACCCAGAAACGCCAGAGCGACACACAACACAGCCAGAGCTGCAGAACTAAAGAAACACACACAGAGTAATTCACTGCTTTGGAAAGTCTGTAAGGCCAATAAGCCTTAGAAATATTTACTTTCAGCAGATTGCACTTTTCATAGCGTATTTGAAATGTGTTCAATAAGCGAACTCTGTTTTCTTTACAAAGCGAATGCATTTCTTCAAGGCTATAGCTCTAGGCAGATTTCCTTGCCAAAAAAAAACAACAACAACTAATAAAGATCTGGAGTCAATATACCTTTAACCCTGTTCATTTTGCAGATGTGTCTATGGTCACTTGCCTGAATTAGAGGCACACATCGCCTTTATATAATATTGTCAGAGATCCATAGATTCATCAGCTCCTGCTTCAGTGTAAGAAGAGACGTGGCCTTCTCTTCAGACTCCTTCATATTCAAGACTTCAACCTGAGGTGTGACCAATACCTCAATGAGTACCACTCAAAATAATCCAGCTTTTTATTAATGAATGGGAAGTTACTAAAAATATAGCTTTCCAAGACACTAGCAGCTTATTTATAGTTAAGCTACAGTCAAGCTATACTTTTAAACAATAGGACAATGCGTAGTTTGTTATACACTACAAAAATATGCTTAAACAGTATAGTATTGTAACATACAGTATATGTAATGTTTTTATTTAAAGCCTACTTATGTTTTTTTGTTGATAACAATACATTATTTTTTTTAAAATAACAATTAACTGTTTAAATGTTTAGGGCCAGAAATTGAAAATTGACATTCAGTTTGGAGTTCAGGAGATTGTCTTGACCAGGACCACAGCCCTAAATGCATTAATTGGTTGATTAGATTGCATTAATGAGAAACTGAACCGGTGTTATATATGAAGAGTTCAGATGCAAAAGCCTCTAAATGCCATTTGAAATTTTCTTCTAGAATGATAATTTTTATCAAGCTTGTATATTTAAGTTCAGTGATTTCACTTAAATGGCAATGATGATTACCTATTAATTGTTATTTAAGTGAAATTACTGAACTTAAATATACAAGTTTGATAAAAATCATCATTCAAGAAGAAAATTTCAAATGGCATTTAGAGGCTTTTGCATCTGAACTCTTCATATATATAAATATTAAGAAAGTGGGTTAAGTTTATAGTATCATAAGTAAATAATAGGTATTCACCAACAATGGTTTATACATAATATTCTGTCAGGTCACCAACCAAAGCACAGATAATCATAATAAAGCATCTGGGAATCTGTTGCTTCTGTTTTGAATTTCCCTGGATTTTTATTTTTTATTTGTTTGTATAAGCTTGAGGTTCTTTTGTATCATATTATCTCTGGAATGTATCTTTTGTATTTATTAGACAATTCACATGATTCACATATCTTTAAAGCTTTTCTCTTCCAGTCGGGAAGCAGGCGGTTGCTGAGATGAGCTGATTTTGTCTCTGTGATATATGAAGTTTTTCAAAGATCCTATAGGCTGCCAGCTAAGAGAATCTCTATCAGAACATAATCCACATCAGGATACTGAAATAACACCGTTGCAGGTGGGCGGCGGACTTCATTAAGTCCTGAATATAGCAATTCTCCTCTCGATTATGCTGATTTGTCCTACATATTTAAGTCCCCAAACCACACAAATGTGGCTTAATCCAATTTGAACATCAAAAGGGATGGATTGAGTCTGTAAATATTTCAGAATTAAGCCCACTTTGTTGGTCAGATTCACATTATAGCAGAACCAACAGACAGCAGAATAGATGTGTTCGTCTATTTATGTAATCCAACACACCTACTCTATAATACCAGTTTAATATATGTTACATTTTCAGGGCAAAACCGGAATTTTCCAGAAAAACTTTCAACACAAAAAACAGAAAATTCCTTGGCAGTAAACAACTTTGCAAAACTATGTAACTTCAATGGTAACTTCGCGTCTGCTGCCATGTTGGATCCATGGGTATAAACAAACTGCCCCGGTGTGTCGTATAGAGAGCCTAAGTCCCGCCCCTTCCGGCTCATGGGACCTTATTTCGGAAAAAAAATATGAATGGTAGTCAATGGCGAGAGCATTGCATGTATCTATACATCTCAGTTCTCCAGCGGCGGCCATCTTTGAGGGAAACCAGTTCAACCCAAGCACTCTTTGATTACGTAACTGCAGATCATCTGTCCATCATCGTATAAAGCCCGCCTGAACTGATCATAATCACTCCTCAATGGATCGAGTCAATTCACTTCACTCAATTGATTTTAAATTGTGATTGACATTAAATCGTCCTGTCCTTTCTTTGTCCTTTGCAGTGACGGGGTCACAGCAGTTCACTTCACAGTGTTCAAAGGGTCGGTCTGAGTGCCAATGAGATCAGGAGGATGAGAAACAGTAGCTGTCCAAAGACACACTGGACGTCAGAAAGCTGTTATTTATTCACACATCCTCCTGCAAACACCTGCAGCCCAAATTGTTTTGTCACCTGTCCCACCCAAACCATTCAAACGTCTTAATCTCTTAATCTAGTCTTAATCTCTATCCACGTCATAGCTGTCAACATTGAACATTGAAAATAAGTGAGATTTCCTGGAATCCATCCCCAAAATAAGGGATTTTTTTTTTCTTTTACACGATTCTTACCCTCAAACTTTAAAAATAAAGCACTAACCATTAAAAGTCCAAAAAGTGTGTGTCAATGTGTCATTTAAAACAAAAAAAAATATCATAGAGAATGTTTAAATACTCTAATGTCGTGTGTCCACCAAAGCATTTTTCCAAGCCTATGTTTTCAATTGTTTTCAATGGGAGCGCCGCGTTTTTTAAACGCCATGAGCGTAGCGAGGCGAGTGCCCGGCGTTTTTACTGGTCGCTGGGAGTTGAAAAATGTTCAACTTTGGATAAAACGCAGCGCACACGGAGTAAAGCCTTTATACTCGACGCGTCCGCACGAGCGCGGCAAAAATGACATGTTGGGTGCACAAGACCGGCAAGACCTCATTTCGCATGGCTGTGTACAACTTTTTTGTGATTTTTGTTCATCCTGCATATCAAATGTTACTCTCCCTTGCTTTATTTAGTAATACATGAATATGCAAATCAGGCCCCGCCTCCACTCAATCATTGCTACACAATGGCAAGTGGAAATATTGGTTTAATTCAGAAAGCAAAAACTGATTCAAAATGACATGATGTTATGTCTTTCTGGATTTACTGGATTTATACTTAAAATCTGAAAATAATATCTGCCTAAAAAGTTCTCATCAGATATTTACAGATGTCTAATTACGACAGAAACGTAATATTTTGTCATTTTGCTTGTCAAGTAGGCTAAATGTATCTTGAATTTAAGAATGTTAGATATTTGTACAGAAACATAACCTTTTGCATTCTGAAATCACACATTACTCATTACTTAAATAATTGCATATAATAATTACACAAAAAAAACAACAACAACAAATACATACATACATACATACATATATACATACATAAATACATTTCAATGGTGCACATTTACCATTCATACTTTTAATAACTCTCTTTGTTAATACATATATAATGTTTTTATGTTTATTTATTTATTGTTATTATTGTATTAGATCCTTTCTGATAAATGCTGTTGCTTAATAGGTCAATTGATTTCTAGGTCATGAAATATACAATAACCAATAGACAAACATATTATATTTAAGTCCACTATTTGCTGTACTTGTTTTTGTAAATTTTTTGTCTCCCTTGTTTTCTTTCAGAAAATAATCATATTCATAAAATCAGTTCACGCTGTGATCAAGTTTTGCCATGTGTATTTGTTTTCGCTCTGAATCCTTTTTTAAAAAAAAAAAATGAATAAAACAAAGTAAATATCTTGAAAATAAAAAATATAAAAAAATAAAAAATAAATGAAATCAAGTGTAGAAAACTTTGCAGTTATTTTTATTAGCACCAGCTATTATCTCCACTAAAACAAATAATAACTTATTCAAGCAAATAACTACAAGGTCAAACATGTCCTGCATTCACTAAGCTCAAAGTAAAAAGTTCAACCACAAAAGAGATGCAACTTCAAGACACCCGAGGTTCAAAAAAGGGCCCAATGCCAGATCCTGAATCAGAAAAAAAAAAAAAAAAAAGTTCACTAGGTGAACACTAGGTGTCGCTGGATCTGGTTCAAGTCAGCTCTGGACATGACATATGTCTTTCAATAGACTAATTACAACAGTTCACGTTAAACTCAGAAGGGAAGAAGTGGACTTTGCCAGTCACATGACTTCCACGTCACCACCAGAGCTTCTTTCGTGAAAGCAAACAGTGAGTAGATGAGCTTTCCTGATGATATCTCATTCAGCCACAGCAACCGCAAGTAAAAGTGCATTTCATGTCGTAGAATTAAACATAAATATGTCTTGAACTTTTCAGACATTTAACCAAATTTCAGACATTTAACCAAAAACCCATTAGTGCTAAAATGCAAATGGCCTATAAATACGTCATCCCTGCAGCATATTTATGATTTTCTTAACCACTAGGTGGCACTGTCACCAAACCTGGCAGGTATGCTCAGATCAAGGTGTAAACAAATCCGGTACCACCCTTCAGTTCAATAGGACACAGTGTTGGTGGGATACAGCCAATATACCTCAGATAATTTTTGGCGACGCTGTCAACATTGTTAGGCCATAATTCAGTACCAATTAAAAATCCACTTCAAGACTTCGTCCCAAACAAACAAATACATAAAAAATTCTTAGCTGCATAAAAACCCCTATTCAAACTATTTTAACCCATGGTTCATGAACACTCATATACAGTGAACCCGTGGCACTATTTGGGGAGCAGGAGTTTATCGAATCAGCCTTTTTAAGCGCTCCCAATAGATAAAGTCTGGCCCGGGCTAATTCGTGTCAAGGAACGGGCGACATGCCCTCTCCAGATGTGAAGGGTGCAAAGAGACTGGAGTGCGGAGACACTTTAGCCCTGAAGAGAGCCGCGATTGCAGAACACACATGAATATTTATTATTCCCCGACGTTCACGGCCAATTACTGCACAGCTTCCTCTCTTTCCTTCCTATGTTTGATTGACATGCTAACTAATCAATCTGAGTGCTATCAGCTTTATAATTAAGCTGAAAAGTGTGCGTGCATGCGTGTGTGTGTGTGCATGTGTTGATTTGCATTAATTCAGGCTGGCTCGTTTTAAACACATCCACCCCCCCACCCTTAACCACTAGGTGGCATATATGCATATAAAGAGACATGACCTTGAAAATAACACTGCGAAAGTCTTACACACACGATAAAC